TGCTGTGTTTTTTATGTACTACTAGGGGATATCGCGACGAAAACGGCTCAAAAATATCTTACTTCAAATTTCCCAGAGAAAAACTCGCGAGAAAGCAATGGCTTCATGCAATCCGTCGAGAGGAAGGAAAAAACTTCAAAGTCTTGGACTCAACCATGGTCTGCTCGCACCATTTAAAAAAGGAAGACTTGAAGAAAACTATTGCGGGCAAAACATGCCTTCAAACTAGTGCTGTACCTTCGGTATTTCAGTGGCGTACTTCGCCTCGCAAAAAGAAGCCTCCACCTCAAAGATTCTCTAGTCAAGCAACTACTCATCAATCATCCAGGGCTTTATTCATGGTGTGCACAGAAAGCAGCGTAAATGATAAATCGATTGAACAGCTAGACAGTCAGATTACAATACAAATGTAGAATCTAATGAAAACAACGTCGAACACGAGGCAAAGAGAAAAGATGCCAAAACTCAGACTGATTTGGTCGAATCGAAGGATGCATGCATTCAGACTGATCAGAGTGTTGCCGCGCTTGTGAAACAGTATGAAATGACAATAGAAGGGCTCCAAAGAGAAATAGAAAGCATTTCAAAGAAGAATGAATGTTTAAAAAGCAGACTTTTTTCTATTGAAAGATTTCGCGCCGACAAGTCTGCTGTGTCCTTCTACACTTCGTTTCCTAACAACGCTGTTTTAATGGAAATCTACAATTATCTAGACCCCGGCGAGAAAGGAGAAAATATCCGATATTATGTTTACTCCAAGTCTGAAGTCCAACCAGAGATCTACAATCAAGAGACAGAGATAAAGGAGACCAAAAAAGGAAGGCCAAGACATCTAAGGCCAATTGATGAATACTTCCTTGTACTGTGCAGGCTGAGGCAAGGTTAACATCAACAGTTAGTCGTATAATAATAACCTGGATAAATTTTATGTCCTTGAGACTTGGTGTAATCAACATTTGACCATCAAGAGAATTGATAAATCTATGCCTGAAGATTTTAAGGCCAAGTATAAATCAACTAGAGTTATAATTGATTGTACTGAGGTCAGGTGTCAATTGCCCAGTAGCCTACAACTGAATGGGGAACTCTTCAGCAGTTACAAGAATCACACCACACTCAAAGGACTGGTGGGGATTTCTCCAAGTGGTGCTGTAACTTTTGTTAGTCAACTTTACACCGGGTCAATCTCTGACAGAGAAATTGTCTATCGCAGTGGATTTCTTGACTTACCCTTTGATGAAGGTGACTCGGTAATAGCTGATAAAGGTTTTACAGTCGAGGATTTGCTACCCTTGGGAGTGAAGCTCAACATCCCTCCGTTCCTTGGAAGTTCTAAACAAATGCCTGCAGAAGAAGTTATTCAGACCCAGGAAATAGCCAGCCTCAGAATTCATGTTGAAAGGGTCATAAATAAGATTAAAAACTTCCACATTTGGGATGGGGTAGTACCTTTAAATCAGCTGGGCCTAGTGAATCAGATGTGGACAGTATGTGCTTTGCTATGTAATGCTAATCCCAGTGTTATCTCTGTAGTGACACTATGAGGCTACAGTAAGATAGTTTGATACCAAGGCAACAACAAATGAAACGTCTTTGTAAATACTATTATGTGAAAAATTCCAATGACATTTTTTTGTGTCACTTCTCTGCTTTCATTGTAAAAAAAGCTAAAAGGTTTGGGCTATTAATCATTCTTTCAATTAACAAGATTTGATCTTTAATTAAAACAAAACGTTTTGAAAGCTTTTCTCATTCCACTAAAATAGGCACTACAATCTGTGAAAGAAAAATACTAGAATACTACTAAACCATATTTCCTGTGTATGAAAATTATTACTTATAAGTTGTAATATTGATGCTAGAGTATTTGTTTCAAAGATTGAATTTGCTTCTCTGCTCACAGCAAGGCCCAAGAATAAAAACTTACAGCATAACTAAAATTGGAAAAGTTTCAAGGAAAGCATCTACAATATATTATAATCATACTACCAAGGGCTGGTTCTCCAAAGCTCCTGATTAGTTGAATCCTGATTAGTTGAATCCTGATTTCACTCTCACAGTTTTTAAGTGTTAACCAAGGAATATTTGATAATCAGGCTTTGAATCAGACCCAGATTTGCAATGACAATCGTTATTTATTAGCTATGACAATAACAGCTTAACTTTTGTATTCTGATTTTAAAAACTCTTCAGCTGCATGTTTAATGAAATGTTGAAAATAGTACAAAGTAAGATCATCTCTAAGTTTCTCCCAAAAATCTGCATTGAAAGGAATTCGCTGTACATAGAGCCCCCTCCTTGTATAGACAACAAAATCACACCATTGTGATCCAGTCACACTCATTTGACCTTGTATCTGAGCATAGTAAGCATGGCCTGTTTTCAATCTGCATGTTGTATCACCTGTTTTCTCCATAAAGAATTTAGGATCAGAGCATGCTTCAGTGGGTGTCACATTAGCCTTTGTCCAAGGACACTTCACCTCCACCAAACCGAAGTGGTCAAAACATCCTGGATCGATTACCTTCCATCAGGTGAAGCACCAAGTATAGGGTATGACTCAGAGATTACTAGCCCTGATGGGATGACAGTGATGGGCATTCTCTTAGCTCTCATTAGGGACTGGTACTCCATCAATGCTACTGGCTCAAATTTCTTACCATGTTTTATATACTTGTTGTTAAGAACTGGTGGATGCATGATGTTGATGGCAAATGTATTGTGGTTTCTTTTTCTTTTCCTTATCATATCAAATGTTGAGGCTGTAAATCTGTATTTTCGGTGGTTCTGCCACTCAACACAACTGGATTGCTTCATGGTAAGCTTCTCAAGATGAGAAATTACATTCTCATCTACATCAAGAAAGTCTATCAGAGACTCTTCATCCTCATTTAAATTATGTGGTGTGCTCATTTTGGTTACGTGATATACTAAAGGGAAGCGTGGATACACATAATGAATATTTCCTTCAGTTGTTTCTCTTGGCATGGAGCTGACATCCAAATTTGATTTGAAGTTTGATTCTGTAAAGGATAGTTGGTATGACAATGGAGACCCAACAGGAAAATGCCCATATTTTGATTCTACAAGTTTAGTGGTACAGATTGTGGTGTCAAAGGACATTTGGGAAAATCCCATGCCTGGGGGTAAACCATTCAAATTTTGTTTCATCTGTGCTTCTCTTTCTAGGTCGCAGATCACATTAACTCGTGATTCATAAAGGCGCGATGTTATCCCATCACGCTTTGGATTTTCAATATCCTCAAGTTTAGTTTTGCTAACAACAACATTCATAATGGGTTCTGGCATGATGTTTGACCCACCTCCTTTTTTATGCCACTTCTGTAGTTCTGAAGTACAGGCAGCAGTTGGATTCTGATCATCTTCATGAAACAAATCTCTAGATGTTTGACACTCAAATATAGTAAATTTGCAAAGTTTTAACAATAATGCAAGAATATGGTTGCAATATCCTACACCTCCAGCAACACAGGAACAC